CAGCGGCCGCTGCTCTGAGCGTGGACCTGCCCACCAGTGTAAAAGATGTCTGTAGTTTACACTGCTCTAACACCAGATAAACAGTACTGGTACCAATAACTTAACGCAGGCCTTTACTAAGGGTGTTGTAGCATAGTTTCGTGGGTGTAAACACACACCCACGTGCATGTGAAATCTAGATGACAGTGGTGTTAGATCTCACTATTGTCCTACATTTACAGACAGTGTCCTAGTCTGGATTAGCCAAACAATTATCTAATGGTTTTCTCTCTGGTGTCGTACTGCTGCAGAAGATTCAGATCCTGTTTATGAGCCTCTGTGCTCTCTTTGGGCCCGAGAGGAATTTTGGCAGAAAGGGGATTGTCTGGGAGGAGCAAGGAGGGCTGCAAAGGAGAGGAGCTCATCTTGGGGGCTATTTCAAATAGCGCAGAGGGCGTTGGAAGCAAAGGAGGGCCGAGCTTTGCGTTATGGGAGCAACAAAGGTTTGGAAGGGTTGATTTTAATCCTTTTGTTTCCATGCTCCTCAGTATTGTTTCTCTCCGCAGTCTTCCTGATGCCTCTGTTACAAAGCAGACTTTTCTGTTGGCGTCAGTGTGCATCTTCCAGTGATTTCAGGGAGCTTTGGGTCAGGCTTTTAATGAGGAATTAGAAGCTCAGCTGTCTTCATGCATTACCAGCACATTTTCCTGAATTGAGCTCACACCACTGCATGCGTGACTTATGTCAAGTTTGGCAGGACGTCTGCGGCCCTGGAACGCGGTTCGGATGCAGGTATCCTCTCGTGCTGAGCTGCTCGAGCGCGCTGGGTATGAACAGAGCCAAACCAGTAAAGCAAGAGATCTCTGCAGCAGCAGGCGATGAATGTGACCAGGACAAGGCTGTAATTATTGAGTTTAAAAACGAAGTTTCTAGGTTAGAGTTTCTTCTTGGTGGTGGTGTTCGGAAGTACAATTTTTTTTCCTTTTCTCCCACCCCACTCATCTCTTTTCCTGCAGCTCCTGGAGCAGGTTGCCGCTCAGTTCCTTCAGGGCGGAGGGGGAACTAGCTGCCATCATTAGCTGCAGATGTAAACACTTGCTGCCCTGCCCTGGAGAGTCGAGCTGCTCCTGGCAATTAAAGACAGTTAGCGGTTCCCTGGCTAGTGTAAATTCTTGCAGAGAGTAATTGCTGCCCCTACCCGCATCCCACCACAGAGAAACTGGAATTTGAGCAAAGTAGCATTGGTTTTCTTTTCTAATACTTTGCCACTTCTGTCCATCTCTGGGAGTTCCCAAAGCTAGTCTAAGAACCTCTCCTCTTATTTTCCTAGTGAAGGAAACTTTCATTTCCAGTAGTGTCCATCCTGTTCGGCAGCAAGTTCAGTTCAGGGGACTTTGATCTGGCCAGTCTTGTCCTATTTGTTTAGAATTGCTTTTGTCTTTGTTTAGTAGGGCTTATAAATGATAACATTTCCTCCAGGAATTTGAGTGTTGCTGTTGATGTTAATGTAATATCAGAAGACTGTGCTATGTGTTTTCCACATCTTAAAAAATTATATGGGTTTGAAAATACGACATATACATACACACATACAAAAGAAAGTGCATATAAAGTAGACCAATATAGAACTAATTAGTTTTACCTTTTTTTTTTTTTTAATAAATATGGAAGTAACTTCTATATACGGTGGAGTAATATTTCTTCTGTCCCTCATATCAGGGCTGTAGAGTTTCCTGAGATCTTTAGAGAGGAGTTGAGAAACGCAAGTTATCATTGCTGGATTTCCTCTTCCTGTACAGGCACAGCACTTGGCTGACACGCTGTGAAATGTGTACCAGTTATCAACGTATTTTCAGTTTCAAGGGTCATTCAAAAATTCCTTTTCTCAGCTGTTCTAGGAAAAAATTTATAGAGACCATTGACACCAGAAGGATCTGTCGTGACAGTGTTTTCTGCATTTTTGTTTAGAGCCTTTGCAAAGAGGCTACTGAAATATTAATAGCTTTCTGCTTTGTGAGACATCACATTGCAGTAGTGCGGTCTGTGTATCCTTTCTATGTTCCCAAAACACATGTGGTTTAGATGCCTTTCATATATTTTAATACAAAGTGGCTGATTGAGTGGTCCATGTTCTCCCAGAGGAGCCAAAACTCACTTCATGGATCAAGAAAATACAGGGCTATAAGGCAATTTACCGTTCAGGCTATTGTGGAGGATGGTGATTTAAAATGTTGTAGTGACTTGAAAAAAAGAAAAACCCAAAGCAGTGATTGAAAGGCTTGAAATGACTGAGTTAATGTGACAACTCTCCTTTTCCTCTGTTGAGCCTATTGCAGAGGTGATCATGCACGGTTAATGTGTTGTGCAGAGCTCAATGGTACCTGTTTGCAGGACTTGCTTTGAAATTGAGTGAGTGATCATTTATTTAATAGACAGCATTAAAGAATGAGTTTCTGATGAAGCAAGTTAGGTGTTAAACACTTTTCAGGTGAACCATTTACTTATGTAATTATATCTCATTTACATTATAATAAATGTTCTCCAGGGAGTTTAGCCAATCATGAAATGCAATTAATTTTCAAATGCTCTTCAGCAACAATTGACACTCCAGAGACCGAAATCCCTAGTCAGTGTGTACATTTTTAAACTCTCATGCT